ATTGATTTTATCACTGGTACAAACTAATTTTCTACTTACTCAACAGTGGCTGGTTAGCTTACCTGGAACAGAAAAAAAAATTATTGTAGTTGGGCAGATAGAGTTGACAAATTATGAAAGCAGTTATTTTATTAAACGATGAAGAGTGTATGTCAAAATTGCACGAACTTGAATTCTTGTTAGTTACAGATATTAAAAGAATTTAAGTAATATGTTACTTAATTAAATAAATATCATATGACACCAACTAAAAGAAAAAACGTCAAAAATTTAATAACGAAAAAATATTAATTTTTCGAAACTATAATAGCTATCTAACTTACTCTTTTCTGATCATTTATTTGGTACAAAAGTTTATGGAATTATTTTTTAAACTTTTTCGCAGGTGATAAAATACCCAAAAAAACAGTAAAAACTTGATAGCTCCTTAATCAAAACTGTTTTATTGAAATTTCTAAAAGAATAAAGGTAATGGAGATTTCGCATTAACATCATACGTCTCAGCATTCATCTCACGTTTTTTCCTGAAACGCAATAATTATTTTCTTTTCTTGATGGCGACAATGTATTTGTATACATATATTTTACGCTTCTATACAGAAGTATTTAATCGGGTACTGTTGACTTGCACATTTCGATGGCCATTGTGGCACTGTCACAACACGAGCCCGATGTGTGTGATAGATGGACATTATGACCCAAACTGGAATTCCTTAATTGGAGGATTGACTATTACAGCTAATTGGCTACCGGGTAACACCGTGTGAATAGGGACTCAGCTGTCATCAAGTAACATTTATTTTCTTTTCGTATTCATAAGTTCCTCTAATTGATAGCCGAGCAATGACCAGTATGGATGTCTGCCCATTTCTTTAACGGTACACTTCGCTCTAAACGGATCTTGAATTTGCTGTGTGGGATTCTTTCACAAATAAGTGAATATGACTGTTTGATTGATTTTTTATTGTCACAGGAGCCGAGTCAAGGGTCGATTAATTTGTTTCACGAAAATGTCTCGCACTAAAAACAACTACATAGTAATCGACAACTCAGAAAAGCACATCAATTCAGTTGGTCGACGTTCTGTTTTCTGTAACAGAAATCTTAAGCTTCATAATAATAAAATTATCTTTTTCTGGAATCGAAAAATTATAAAGGTTGAATAATAAAAAAAAATAACTCCTGTTCTATCTATAACGAATACTTTTAATAGTTTAATGCATCAACGGAATAGCAGCCCCGCTGAAAATACGGTGATCCGCCGCGCCGCGGTGTTGGCTGCATATTTCCATTAGAAAGTCAGTTTGAAAAGTTGCTAATGCATCAGGCGGCACTCTGTTCACATTTTATGTATATAAATATTCAAATAATCCCCCCAAATCAGATTATAAAAGTAAACTTCGCGTATGATGTTGTGGTTTTGTATTAACTCCGCTTTTCCACACCTGGTGCTCTCCCAGCGCTCGAACGACGGATATCTCATCCGGCGGGGTTGTAATTCCGTCATTTTCTATTCCGCGCGCTGCTGTTTGTTTTACAAACCACCCCGATACGTGAATTTGATCCCTTGCCCGGGGTTTGTTAAAACTTGAAAAGCTTTCAACATTATACTGTCTGTCTGGATATAATTCGCTGCCAACAAACATAATAGAAATCGAAAAAAGAGTTCGTAAAATAATACGTGTACCTATATATTTCGTACGTTTTAAATACATTGGTTGTTTAGCCTAGATTGAAATATTTACTCACTATTTGTCTTTCATAATGTATTTTCTAAATGTATATGTTTGTTTGTATCATGACGGTAACCATATTGGATATTTGTGGCCTTTTAAAAGGGAAGAGAAAAATTTTGTTTTAATTTTTTTCTTAAATATGGAGAAAGATACAAAAATTAAATTGCTTTTCCTATTTTCAAAAAGGCATATACTAGATATTTTCTTAGCCTTCTGCTTCAGTAATTAGGGGTTGAAGGAAAAGTTAAATGTTTATTGATTATTGTTATTAAATCATGTCTGACCTATATTTGTATAACTTGTTTTCTAAAAATTATTTCTTATTTTTGTATTGTTAAAGTTTGCAATAAAGTTAGTAAATCACCATGTATAATGCTTTTACGTATAGATCATAGAAATAGTTCAAGGTTTAGTTTGCCCTGAATGCGGCCCCTTTCAATATAAAAGTAAAATTAATATGGTAAAACTAACGACTAGAGGGGAGGGGGAAAAACTTCAACTGTCATAATAAAATAAAGAGGACCTATAAATAATTTTCTGATTGATATAAATCAAGCCGCTAATCTATATTTATATAGATTTATATAGTGAATTTCTATGCCAATCAAAGTAATAACAATCTGAGTCTAATACTTTTTTTTATGTTTCTACTTTTGCTCAAAGCCTTTCAGTAATCAGTTCGCTTTGCAGGTGAGAAAAATTCCAAGTAGTCAGAAATTCTTTATCGAGAGTTCCATAACAGCCTTTATTTATATGTAGTGATTAATTTCTTAGACACTGTGGAGTAATTTTGCTATATAGACGTCAAAAGAACACTAGTAGCCGTCCTTAATAGCAGTTATTTAAGCCGGAGAATTAAAAATTCATTTAGCCGCCAGTATTAATTGCGGTAGAAAAAAATACTAAAGGCTCTTTCACAAACTTTATTTCAGTCATTTATAACTAGCAGACACTAATCTATTAAAAAAGGAACGCTCTTCGATTTAGGCGTATAAACTCGGTAGCGCATTCTTTCTAATGAGATTTTTTCTTCGGCGTCGGAATTAATAACACCTGGGATAATCCATCAACAGTATCCATACGCGGCAGAGATCGGGTTGAGCGGCAATTTTAGTAATTGCCAACGCGCCTGCAAGCTTGTCTGGTGAGCGTCCAAGGCGTAATTGTTAGTTATTTTAACGAGTACACTTTTACGTGGTTCACCGCTGAATGCGTCTTTAAATAAGCTGATTTTGACCATAATTCAACCACCAAACACAGGTCCGTACCGAAATCACAGCATCTAGAATGCACAAAAAAAGCATCGAACAATTTTCATTAGCATGTCCAATGTAAAATCTACAATTTTTATCAAACTTATAAACAAATCTTTGAGTATGTGTTTTGCTATCAAGAATTTCAATGATAAGCACACAACCTATGTCTTTTATATCTTGTACTATTATAGGTATTTAGGCCAACATCAAAAACAAACTAAGAAAAGTCTTGTTAGTCTTAGTTATGTGGGTAGTTATTTAATACAATTGTGAGTCCGGCACTGGCGGACCTGCTACCGGATATGAATGGATTCCTTTCAACGAACGCGAAAGATATAAATATCTCATCAAGAGAGGATTTACATTCTGTATTGATGCTGTCCTCGCACCATTAAAAAGAATCCGTAATATTCCAAGCGAGCATTAGCAGAAGGAAAAAACGAATTATACGATTCGGACAAGGATGGACGCGTTTTTGTGAGAAAGACTGTTAATAGACTAACAATAGTCAGAGTCCGACTGACTGGCTACTGACTAAGTAGCAGGTTGAGGCCATTTGCTGACATGACCAGCAGTTTTATAATGACACCTCTGCAGTCGTATCATAACCAGTCCCATCTTTCCTATTCAATGAGCGTCATCCAAATTAATTTCTTATTCAGGTGCTCAAGCCAACAAAATACCAATCGTATTATTGCAGTCTCCTGCAAGAACAAAATTAAAAAACATATTATTATCGACAATATTTAGAAATATACACGGTGCCTTCGAAAATGGGGCTTTAACTTATAGAGGTTATAACTGACAACAAAATAATGCACTTTATAAAAAATCGATCTAATTTTATCATAACACAGATTGGCATTTGAAGTTAATACTTCTAATCTGTTATGTAATTATTATTAATCATAAATTCATACACCGTGCAAAGATAAATCAGTGCTTGCCGTCATTTCCAATAGTAACAGTTTTGAGTTTTTAATGTGTTTGTGTTAATTTAGGTGTAAATATTTTTTGTCAAAATGGCATACAAATACAAAAAATGCCAAATCAAATATTAGAGAAAAAATCTCAACATTGTCGAAGACCAGACAAATTTCTCGTGGAATTACACAACAATGTTTGGAAAAATCTACATGAAAACCAACTGTATCCGTATCATCTTCATCGTATATATACAAGCATGCAAAATAATTATTGTTTGTTCGTAAGGGTTGTGAGTAGTTATTAGAACAAAATTATGAGAATGAACATTTAATTTTTAGGCAAATGGAGACTAAAGAACTTTTCCCTATAAGTATCTAGTGTCCAATTCTTGCAATAAGTACGTGTAAATTTGACTGTGAAGATCTTTTTTTATGTTAATTAATATGGTATATAGAATCATCTTTAGCGCTGAGATAAAAACGAAATATTAATTTTATAAGAATAGTCGCTGACCTTCTTTCTTGTTGTTGTTAATAAGATCTAGTTTATTCATAAAAACCAAAGTTAGTAATATCAGATCGTTGACCGGCACTTTTTTTTTAAATCCATATATGTTCACTTCTTCAGCCCGATGCAAATATCCTACAGGTGGACTCCTCTCCTGACATGGAGCATCACCTTTTTTAGTAACGATGGGTGGTTCAGGCGAGATAAAAGCATAGTGAACCGCCGCCCGGGCAACTACCATATAATTGCTACCGTGCAATGGGCAGTCCCATGGCTCTAATAGCCCTGTCACGAAGCTTTTATACCAATGACGGACGGCTTCTCGTTGTGGGAAACCACCGTCAGAAGATGCTTGTTAGTATTCCTTGTCGTCGTCTGGGTGTAAAAGTATTGTTTTTGACCACTAACGTTCTCCTCGAAGCTTTGAACTTACCTTCGGTGTTCCCACAGTACCTAAGATTGAACTAGTGTTCAAAATGTGATATAAATGTGTTAAGACCTGAATAAAACTAATGGAACGTATTTAATCTTTCATTTTATTGACTCTAATAAAATGGTGGATGTCTTTTCAAAGTCATAGGCATCTCATTATCATTTCTAAAAAATCTTCATACTTAATAGTAATATTTCCCGTAAATTCGGTATCTCTACTCTTGAACTCCTCAGTAAACCTTTGAATTTGTATGCAGGTAATAATATATTGATCCAGTGAGATCTTCTTAGCCTTAGGATTGTTTCTTGTGATCAGAAACCTTATAAACTCCGGAGAAAAATTGATACTCATGTGTTTTAAAGCGTAATCCAACTCGTGTTCGTCCAAAAACCCAGACTGGTCCCTGTCGTAGGTGTTGAAGGCGATCAACCATTGTTTTATATAGTAGTATAACGTTTCGAACTCCTTGACGTCCAACCCCCCGTTTTTGTCGAGATCGAAGAGTCTTACAACAAATTTGCAAGTTGCGTCAGAGAAGTGTTTTCCTTGGAATGTTTCGAAGGCTTGCTGAAGCTCCCTGGAGGAAATCTTGCCTTCGTTCTTGGTGTCCATCGTCCTGAACCATTTTTCTACTGCTGGGTGAACAGATGTCTTGCGAGTGCTAAATTGTGACATGAATGAAGGTGTCTCGATGACGCAGTTATATCTTCTGTTGTTAATTTCTGGAACAAAGAAAGCCAATTCAAAACAAAGTTTCGAGATTGGTCTTTAGAAGAATGAATTTTACCCTTCATGGCTCTGTCTAAAATTTTTTCTTTCTGTTGTTCTCTTGTTAAATTTTCGTCGGCTCGATACATGCATATAAGCCCTAGAAATGAAAAAGCTGTTTAACAACAGAACAACATACTAGAAACAGGTTCTTAAAACTCAGAACCTAATGGCTGTCAGAGTTTTAACATGAATAACTATACATTTGCTGAATGTAAGAATATAAATAAAAAAATGTTTACTTACTTTTATCATCATAAACAGAATTCATGTAATGTTGATCCATGTGACTGCAAGTCTTTCAGATTTTATTACTATTAATCGTTGAAGTTAAGATGACTGATGACAAAAATTTTGAGTGACTGATGGTGACAATGTCAAGTAATGCAATCTTGATGCTGCAACAATAGCTACGCTCAACTATCATTGTGAACCTATTTGATATACATTATGAATTTATGAAAATTAAATTTATTTAAAACGGGACCTATGTCGCTATGAAATGACATTCTATGTATTTCTGATATTGATCTTTAATAATCTGATAGTACTAATTTTCGTATATATGTAATTTGAAATAAACATAAAGCTAATATTATGTTAAATTCAAGAAATCGACCTCAAGTGCGTCTAAAAACCACTTAAATTTAAGAAACTATAATTAGTGACGAAGGAGAACCTCGAGGAGAACTGCTTAAACAAAATATAGGTTGCATCACTTTAACAATTATTAATTATGTGGATGTATAAGAAATAAATATTAAAAAAAAAAACGTTTCCCAAAGTTAATTGCATATTTTTGGGCAGTGATATCATGGTACTAATATTTAAATAGAAAAGAAAAAAAAACTACAAACGGATTTTTTTTTTTGACATAACAGTTTGCTTTCCGTGATTATACGGGTGCCTAAACCTATTGCTTTACGTACTTCTAACACCCAGTATATGACATATCATCTTCGAGGGAGCAATAATAACGATATTATTAAAATAATAACACAATGTTTTATATTAATTTAACTCATTATTTCGTGGATGTCATTAGGGGTATCATTAAAGCAATTAGTCCGAGATGGATTTACAGGTTGCCAGTCATTGTTGCGTTATTCAGTTATTTGTTCAGGGCCAACTGCCAGTCATCAGTAAGTGAGAGCTTAATTTTTGGCCTCCGTTCGACGGGGAATAATAAGCGTTATTAGCAGAACTGACAATTAAATTTGACTCTACCATTTTCTGGTCAAGATGTTTTTTTTTCTATAAAAAGGAGAACCGATACCTGTTCGATACACCTTTCCATTTTTTATATGAATTCCGCATTATAAACGGTATGATTCTAGAAAGAAATAGTAGATTTATATATTATTTAAATCGATAACAGTTATATAGGGTGTTAGTTAAAAATGTGGGTAGACAAATTTAAAGGGTGATTTAAAAAAAGGGTTATATACATTATGAATCCGTAAATCGATTGTTTTCTTGAGACAAACATATTTTGCATGATCTAAGAATTATCAATGTATTCCAAAAATGACTTTAGACAGTTTTAGGTGTCCAATAAACGCGTGTTAGATTAATAAATATTTCTTGGTTAGTATATTTTTTAATGACGTTTCAATGCCCCTGTCCACGAGCCGCTTATGCCATCTCTCACTAATATCCGCGTCGAATTGCGGCAGATGCGAAGCAAAGAAGAAGGTGACGGCTCGTTACTAATTACAGAACTAGAACATCAATCGTTTTGCCACTAAACGCAAAATTTTAATTGCACGGCCTAGGTTTCCGCTTGTTTTCGACCTCTAATGGAATCTCCGTGTTTGCTACTTGTAACCGCGACCTACAGACCCCCTAATTGATTCCACCGAACAAGCAGGATCCGGATTTGATCGAATAATTTAATCCTACTGAAAGATATTATGTACTGGAAGTTCTGGATATATTGGTATAATGGAAGTTAAAAAATGCATATACATATATAGGTAGATAATAGTCGTCAATTAATTATATCCCGGTTCAGCCACTGCAGATCTCTATACAGGATGACACAATTTATCCTTATAGATCTTAGAAACATTATGGGATGTACGTACAATGAATAATTCATACAAAAACTATATTAGTGCAAAAAAAGATACCAAAAATCACATAAATATATGTATACATACCTGACCAAACGCAATTCACACACAGTCAACTAGCGTGTACAAAATGTTTACGCACCAAACGAAAAGTGTTTACGAGGGAGTACGATAATTACATACATGTAATACCCAAATACGATATTACATACATGTAATACCCAAATTTTGTTAACGCATCTGTTTTGATTGTGAAGTTACAGTAGGTTTAGAGTTCTTCATGAAAATTTGATTTTAATTTCAACTTGAAGTCAAATACATCATTGCAAATTTGCCAAATAAAAAAATACTAAATTTGTTTTTAATACAAAAATACAAATAAAGGTTTAACTTTGTTTCACAACTTCTAACTGCGTAAAGGTTGTAAGGCTTATGTACTAGGTATAGTTGAATGTCTACCTTGAATTTATTGCAATTATACAATTTTTAATTTAATATTAATAATTATTTAAGATTATGAACTTTTACCTACCGGCTTTCAATTTTAACTTGAGATTCAATTTTAACGGCAGGGTTCCATATTATTTCCTTCTACATAAACTCCTACTAAAAGTTCATGATATGTACCTACTCAATGCACGCCCTTATAGTTTGAAATAACGGAAACTGTCTCAGGGTTCCGATGGCTGAAATTTAGCAGTTAGGAAATGACTAATGATGAATTTTATTGAGGTAATTATCACCAAACTCGTTCACCAACTGTCGCCTTCTCTACAAAAATGGTAATTAAATGGTTCTTAAATTTTGAATTGCTACCCGAAGGTAGAGTTTTTTTATTCACTTCAATTTAGAAAGATTCAAACATTTTTATGTTAAATAGGTAATACAACTGTCATATATTTTGGAAGAAATGAACATATAAAAGTAAATACTGTAAACACAATTAAATATTTGCAGCAAGATATTTATTCAAAAATGATATCTCTTCTTAATTGAACCCATATTTAAATAAGTGCAATTAAATATAATAACATAATTATAATAATTATTAATTACACTGGATAAGACATAATTATATAATAGACGTATATTTATAATTATATATTAGTTTTCTCGACACGTTTCCTAAAAAGGAAGTCGTAGTCGTAACGGTGATCATGAATCTGTAATATTTGGTTTAAATGGAAGTCACTTATTAGCTCTATTTGAATAATTAATAACAGTAACAGTACCATCAGTTTTTATGCTTAGTGGTTATTAAAAAACTGAACGCATAATCACTAAATCATCAAAACTTTTATGCATGAACGATGATCTACATTTATGTTTAATATTTTTACTTTGCCCAAATTAAATGTACATTATCTAACAAGTTATAATAGTGTTTGTAATTATAGTTTTCATATTCATTTGTCATTGAATCAAATTTTTGTATGAATAAAATTGTTTCTGTAAATTTTATGTGTATAGTTTAATTATTTTCACTGTTTGTTGGTATTTTTCCGCTTGTGAAAAAAAAATATAAAATTGATTAAAGAAAGCTTTATGTCAAAAGAATTAATCAAGTGTTATTTTTATTAAACTATTTTTCTGTAACAAAAAAACCAAAATAACTTAAGATTCTGGTACAAGAAGGGGTCTTTTTTTAAATGATATTTCTCAAACTTTTTTCACCTGGTGCAAATATGAAATCTGTAGGCTTAAAAAAAACATAGGTAAGTAAGAATGGGAATTGTTCCATGTAACTTATCCCCTTCTTCCACTACATAAGTACACCTTGTTTTTTGAGTTTGGTATTTGCTCTGGCCATTTGTTTATCTTCAATATTTTTTTTTGTATGTAATAGTATGCATCTATTAAATATGTAGGTATACAGAAAACTGTTTTGATTACTTACCGTTCACGTTTTCCACCTGGGATAAACTTACAATTAGCCAAATGATACGGCAACAACAAATCATACCTACTAACTTTGAAAAATCTTTTTTTTTTCTGAACAATTTGCATATTGGCGTTTATAGTACTCTTACACCAGGATCTAGAGCAAGGGTCGGCAAGTAATCTTAAGTGGGGTCCGGATACTTTTGAAAATTTTTAACGAGGTCCAGAAAAAAAATTCTTATTTCTTACAAATTTTTTATTTTAATTTAGACTCAAATTTAATCTGCTTACTAACCATTAAGAACGCAAAACACTCACACAATTGTAAAATACTAGAAAAAATGATAAGGTTGGCATTCAAACGTAAAAAATAATTTTTTAAATAATTTATTTAAGTTTATACTTTCAAAAAATTTCTGGCGGTCCAGTATTTTACCTTCCGCGGTCCGGACCTGGACCGCGGTCCACCAGTTGCCGACCCCTGATCTAGAGTTATAGTTAACGTTTCGAATAATCAATCTTTTTCCGTTATAGACATTTGTAATGTACCTATACTTATTTTTTAAATAGGTTTGATAGTTCAAAATTTGTTTGTTTCTGCCTGCTAGAGACATAATACGATATTTATGCGAGACTCAGACAATTACTGTATGTGGGCTAGCTGCTAGAAAGTGATATGACGTTCCCACCTTGGCTTCGTTGGTTTTTCTTTATTTTTTTTAGGGAGAAAGGTTAAAAATAAAATCAGATTTTTTTTTCAAATTAATTATGATGTATAATTTCTGAAAACGAATTTTAAAAAATGCTGAATGAGCCCATTAGACCTTTAACTTTTCAATTTTTCTTCACATTTAAATTAAAATTTTAATAAACTACATGCTTAATTAATTTATAAACTGTACAGCAATATAATGAATTTAAGAAATAGTCAAGCAAAAAACTGGTAATATAAGTATTACTTAGTATTAGCGAATTCTCTACTTTGTATTAGTTCAAATTGACCGATTAGAAGTAATTTGTAATAATTTATTTGCATTAGATAACATTAGCAATTGTTACGTGCTGTGTCAATCAAGCATTTTATTTTTGATACCGATAAAAAACACCTAATAAAAAACCCAATGTCATATTAACACTTATGGAAAATCATAGTCATTAAAAATGTATCATATAAATAATTAAAATTGAAACTTAATTTTAGCTATAAATGCGTCAGTTATAAAAAAATGCAGTAAAAAAAATTACTGTTAGAAACACAAACGTCATATTACCACTTAAATTTAAAGACGGGGTTATTATTAAAGTATTTGTGGAAATTTATAATAAAAAAGAATTGGATTTGTTGAAACACTGATTTTCTTATTTGTAGTCTGAAACTT